AGGTGAAATTTACAACCAGTCAACCAATGGGAAAGTCTTAACCAGATGCAGATTATTGCCTTGAACCTCTGACTCCCGAGCAAAAAAGCCTCAGACGCAAAATTTGACGGAGGAAACGGAGCATAGATAGAACTTAATTTTTCTTACTGTAATAAAACGGGGTTTGCAAATCAACGGTTATCCCTAAAATATTCCCTCGATTACTTGAATCAAGTCGAGATCAAACGCTGAAAAGAACAGTAGACCTAATACTGTGTTGTACAACTGACGTCACCTGTTTTCCAACCCCTGGGATTGTCTGTCTGCAGAGAAATGGCATTTCCGAACTCCTAGAAATATGAAATTATTAAAGGATATGCCCTCGGATTTCCGTTAAGGTTCCTGTCTTCGCTGATTGTGGTATGTTTTCATCTGAAAGTATTCCGCAGCGAAAATTACATGCTATGTTCATTCTCATTGAATGACTGGTCGTCGAGTCTGAGTGGAAACAAAAGGTGAAAGGAGAGGAGACGCAGAAGAGAGGTGTACAAGAAAGACAAGTGCTTTGAAGCTCGTTTAATGACGTAGCATTTTCATTTATTTCAAGCACTCTGAACTAGTTATTTCACAAAACTTTGTAAAAGCACTGTAAAAAGACGCGAAATTATTACTTGTTGCTACTAATTATTAGAGAAGTCCTTAGTCTTTCTCGATAATCGAAATATGCTTTATATGCAGCAATTTCATTGAAGGACCCGTTTTCTCCACAACAGGAATTTCTGGGAGCTACTTCCGAACCATCATAGCGAGAGATCGATAAGTAGGTTAATTTCGCTTCGTCAAAGTACACATAACGCCATCCTTGGGTCGAAGCGTGACTCTTTCATGAACATCGCGTGACTGTCCAGGTACCAAAGAAAAATTGAACGTCTGAAGGAAGCGTGACAGCAAAATCTTGGCCTCGATCTGTTTAATGGCAAAACACGAGGCGATGATAAGAAATTTTTCAAAGGAGAAAAAGCGTCATGAAATAAACTCTCTTGTTCATTGGTGTGAAGCTAATATGTCGAAAATCGTTTGATAAAATTTATTATTATTTACATTGCTTTCTGTCTTGTCACTCTACAATTTAAAAAAGAACAAGGTAATGTAGAGATCAAAACCAATTCTTACCACCAACCCCTTTTTGATACAGGTCGGGTTGTTCTGTTCCAGCTTACAAAATCCTCTTGAAAAATGATTTGCAACGCGCACTGGGACAGAAACGGGATCATCCCTTAGGGAGGGGGTACTACCAAAAGTAGGTGTGCCTAATTGTTTTACAAGTACAATAGATGGAAAAAGAAAAGTGGATCACTAGCCCCACCCCACTTTACTGAATACTCCCTAGTTGCCTTACCTGTGCAAAGTTTTGTCCGATACAGTTCCGGGGTCCAAGTGAAAACGGGAAGTAATTGTAATGAGAACTAAATGCGGCATTGGAAAAAACAAAATTCTTCATACATTAGTTTGAAGTTCCTTTTTTCATTTGAGACACCTACAGTTGCGTTGTATACCGGGGATAATGCCCGAGGGTGAAATATTGACAAAGTTACTGTGGTCGTTGTATGAGGCGAAAATTAATCCTTGAAGCTTTAAAGTCCTGTCATAAGAAACCTCGCTTGTCATGTTCACTTTTCAGCGACAGAAGTCCTTTTTAAAAACTAACACGAACGACTGTAACTCTCGCATTCGAATCAACCTTTTATTGCAAATGGCGGTCATACACAATAAAAAAACAATAGCATTGACTCTGAACACAAATTCAATCAAAGCACGCTTCTTACAACAACATGGCCAGTTTACCCTAGTTTTCCATAGTTCCTTTCGCTTATATAATGTAGGTCCTAATGACGTACATAGAACATTACACATAAGAAAAGAATTGTGGATAGGTTCTCGTTTAATCGCACAAGCGTATTCGAGTCAAAGGTCACGTAACAGTTTGCATGAGCGAATACAACTAACCAGCCCGTAAAGAGTAGCACTATATACCTCTTCAATTGTTCTTCATCGTCAAATCTGTAAGGATTGAATTCCTCTGGCTTAGTCCAGTACTTAGGAGATCGGCTGCTGGCAAAGGTACTCATCTAGAAATCAATAAGCACATTCTATTTCTTTTGGGGGAGTAAAAGGAGAGATCGTAATGACAAGTTTGTTCTAAAAAATTGAAGAGCCTTGAAGAAAAAATTGCACAACTCAAATAGTGCAGCACTGAAGCGGTCATTGTTTTTACTAATTGATTTACGTAGAAAAGGAATAATCCTGATCAAAATTGACTTTGAAAATTTGACAGAGAATATTTGACATGGTGTTCTGAGCTGTGTTAGCTCATTCTGTCGATTGTGAAATATACATGCTGCACACGGTTTGCAAAACCGCTCATGAGCCAAATAACCCTGTGTAAAAGCTACGAAAATTACGAAAATTGAGATGATGGCCGATTCTCGTCAACAGAAGGGGAAGGAGCAACAGAACAGTCTGAAGTAAATTTGAAATTTGCGTTAACAGAAAACAATTGCAAGATTGAACATACGTTAGAAACTGCAAAAAAAAAAGCAAAACAAAATAAAACAAACAAACAATAAACCTACAAACTAACAGACAGACAGATAGAGACGGATATAGAGACAGTGACAGAGACAGACAGAGACAGGAACAGAGACAGAGACATACAGACAGACAGGCAGACAGACAAGTAAAGCTAAGTAAACTGACATAAAGACAGACACAAAGTCAAACAGACATCCAAGATGAAAACAAACCGCGTTATGGAAAAATACTGTACCATGATAGGAACGTTAGCAGGTATTTTGTATCCTCCAATTTCTGCATCCTTTTCACACATTCGTAGTGAACCAGCAGCTGCTGGAGGGTATAGTCGTAAAGTTTCCTTTAGTACCTATTATAAATAACAAGCAGTTGAGGTTATGATCTGTGGCGGATACACATCATCATAAATCATGTTGACAACATAGTCTTAAAAAAAAAGTTTAAAAAGGAAGCGCTATTAACTAACTAACTTTACCTTTACGTTTAATACCGCGCTTTTCGACCGAGAGTCGAGAAACAAAACTAAAGCAATCACTACGACTAATAAGAATAAAGGACGATGTTACTAGGACCCAATGAGAACTCAGAGCAAAGACAAGCAGTGAACAGTTTAAGCGCGGGAAAACAGGTGTGAAAGAGGGGTGTTTGGTTTTAGTTTTGTATCTCATTGGTTGAGAGGGTGGTGCAAGTTTCTCGACCAATCAAAGCTCGAAGAAATGGAAAAGCGATGCAATTCAGGATTACTTTTGAAAGTAAATTGAAGATTGTTGAGAGGTATCTAGGAAAGTACTGCCACTTGTCGTTAAGCTCTGCGGTTTTCGATTTGACTTATTTCTCTTCTATGTTTGCGGGCAATTTCGCCAGAGAATTCAGAAAATACACTAAAAAAATACATCTAAACTGTAGCTACAAGCCATGAAATATTTAACCCAAAAACTGAGGAAATTTAAGGTTTCAGAGAAAAACCAACGATCCTTAACGAATGTATAGACGGACCATTGTGACCCTAACACTCGTTCGTGTTCGAGGTATTTCCCTTTCCTGTCTGTCACATTGTCAGGGAGAGTGTTGAAATCCATCTTAGATCGCAGTCTTAAAGAGCACCTAATTCTTATAGGCCTGCCTCGTCCTTCTTCCCATTTTTCTTTCTCACAAAGGCTCAAAGAAAAATCGGTAAAAGTCTGGTGAATTCACTAGCATCTGTGTGTTTTCTTTTTTCCGGTTCAAAAACGGTTTACAAAAAAGCGTTACCAGCCCGAGTTGTTTGAGTTTGGCCAGGTCATCAAACGCAACATGCTGTTTAGGTCCCAGA